CACTGTATCTCAGGAGTAACTTACAAATTAACCCGTGTTTTGCAAAAAGGAAAACATTACAGTAAGATTTGGTACAGTACACAAAATTCAAAAACTAGTATCTTGCACTAAAGACGAATGACCTAAATTATCAACAGAAGGTGTATATCGGATTAATTGTTTATGTGGCAGATGTTATATTGGACAGGCGGGACGTAACATCAGCATAAGACTAAAAGAACACCAAAGAAATATAAAATTATCTCAAACACAACTGTCGGCAGTGGCAGAACATGCTTGTCAACAAGGACACTCAATTGATTTTGATAACGTTGAAGTGTTGTGTAAAACTAATTATTACTGGCAAAGACTAATTAGATAATCCATTGAAATTGAGAAAGAAATAACTTTAATCGCTCTGACAGCTACAGGCTTAGTGCGGCTTGGAAGCGTATTATTAAATAATACATATTACAATTCCTTATAGGGGAAACACATACTTATTAACGAATTACTAATGTAGCATATAATCACAATAACACACATTACAACTAATTACTAATCTACAACTCATTACTAATCATAACCATTGACTGATTACCAATCGATTATATAATTACAATACCCCCCCCTCCGCCTCAAATCACTGCACCTGATATGAGTTAAATGATGACGTCACCCTGCTGCTCTATTTAAAACCGGGAGCAAGCGAGGCTTTACCATTCTGGCGAATTGCCCGGTGATGCTGGATGTAATTACCAGCGAAACGTCGTACTCAAACTGTAAATGTTGTGGATTCACTCTTCATAACACAGCGGTGGGCTAAAGTAGTGAACTATTTGTCTTTGTTCAACGTGACACTTTTTTGCTGATTGGCCGTGTCTGGTGGTGGAGGGTTACGACACATTTATAAATAACGCGATCTAACCCAAAAACCTTTATTATGAATAACATCACCTTATAAAGGCCCACAATAATTACAGTGGCATAAGTATATAAAGACAGCTTTTAACCACTCGCTTCTCTGCTTATGATTAATGGGGTGGCGAGGTGGTTAATATTACATTTAACCGCGGCATCGTTCTCGCCCTCCATTTCCTCTCCAGGCCGTGCTTTTTCAAAGGGCAACGCTGTACCCCCAGCCAAGCAGCAAGGTTAATTACAATGTGCCAGAAAGATGGGGGTGCTTCGAGTTGGGTGTTGCTGGTAGGGTCTGAAATTGATCGGGGTAATGGAATGTGCAGTTCTAACCCTGACGTGTCCACTGCAGCAATGAGACATTTTATGGGACTGGTCTGCTCTTTATCCACGCTTCTCATCTTCCTCTTCCTCTCCTTCCTGTGGTGAATTTTGTAATTTGTTTTTGTATAACGTTAAATGTCTGGCTGTGAGTCGTTTGTCAGATCTTGCGGAGTGGCTGCTGCACTTATGGAAAAAAATAATGGTTACAAATTCCAACTCTTCCTCTTTCTTAGGATTGATGGAATAATTGATCGGTTGGTTGATTGATGTCCTTTCGTTAACAAGGTGAGAGCCCATTGAGGCCGACTACGTCTTTTGCACGAGATGCCTCAATTTGAACTCCCATGCCTTTTATTTTATTTTGGAGTTTTCGAGTTGAACTCTTGAGACGTTCAGGAATTTTTTTACATGGTTTACAGTTATACTTTTTTTTTCCAAAAGAAAACATAACCCAAACGAGAGAGCGGGGATGACCACGGTCTGAGAGGTGGGTCTGTGATAGCACATCCCGGGCAGCGAGGTGTCACAGTGAGTGATGACATCGCTCCTGTTAAGGATGTGGCAGAGAAGTGAATGCAGCTAGGTATGCGGGGAAGGGATGTGAAGACATTATAGAAACACTCAATGTGTGCGGACATCCATCACGTTAGCATCCACCCGTGTATTTTTTTTACGATGAACAAAGTAGGCATATTACTGTGTAGGTATTTTTTCTTTGTGCTGCATTGCTCTTCGACGTGTTTTTTAGGGTTATGCTATGTGTGTTTTGGCATGTCCTCCGTTTCGCTTGCATCTGCTGGCAGCTTCTTCAGGGAGAGCTATAAGTAGTCGTATCGTAAATACGATCTCAAGTAGAATGTGAGACAAGAAGACGTTCTCCCATTTACACACTACGGCTAGGCATACACTTTGATCAACGACTACACATATGACAATTGAAACACAGTAATGCCAATTCATCAGTTTTGCTTCACTCAATTTAGTCAAAAAAAATGCTTGCAGTTCCTTTATAATATGTAATGTGTACGTCGCAATGAACATGATTAAATGTCTTAACAGCTACACAAAGCCAAAACAATGACTCAAAACTTGAAATGGAGCACATGAAAAAAACACGTGTTCGGTCATTAAGACGACTGCCACTCCCTTCAAATACGATGACTCTCTCTGTACACCACTCACGGCAAGTGCTGAACTTGTACGTTCCTGCCGCCAGTTAACAGAGGAGGGAACAACAACAACAACACACATACTTCTTCAAATAGGGTAGCCAGAACTTCAAGGCAACTATAGGAACATGAAAGATAGGATTGTATGTCAGGGAAAGCACTCCGGCTTCGTGCGTAGAGAGATGCTAGGTGGGTTCGCTGTCGGCGAATTGTTCCCTGTGCTGTGTCTTGGGTGCCCGTGCATGTGGTTTTAATGTGATAAAAGCCCAAGGCAACTATAATGGAATCTTGAATTGTGACTGATGTGAAAAGTTCTTGTCGTGTAGTGAGCAAAAACAAAGTAATGAGAAACACGGCGGGTATGTTGTGGCAATCTGGCACAAAAAAAACGCTTTACATGCAGTTTGGTTCTTCTCTGCTGTGCTAACAGTTGTGTTCTGATCAGTATCATTCAACTACTGCCTAATCTGTATGCTGCCACAATAAGTGATATTAAAAAAAAACTATTAACAATATATATGCACAATCTCCTTACACTGATCGTCTCCTGGCAGAAAGTCGTACGTTTAAATATAGTCTATCGTTTGTAATAATAATGGCTGCGCTTTCATGCTCCCATAGTTTCTGTCAAAGTGCATTTGAAGGTCGTTTCAGCTTATTTTAGTGCACATACGAGGGGGTGGTCGCGAAAAAGAAGTTTGGTTGTCAGGAAAATGTCTTGTCCTGAATTACAACATCGAACAAAATGTGTGAAGATGCCAAACTCCTCAAATTCAGAATAGCCTTCTTCACAGCCAACGTAAACACCATATTTACAGCAGCAGCTGTGGCCCCTTGGGTTGAAAGTGGACACAATTGAATGGCACAGGCAATAAACCATTATGGATGATTTGTAGGTTGCGTCGGGTTTTGTTTTGTTACAATCACCAAACCGCGGTAATGTGTGCGTTAAAAACACACACGCACAATTATAGAGAAAGCAATGGAGACAAATATGTGGTGATAAATTATTTATTGATAACTTTAGGCTGTTTTCCAACTCGCATGTCACGTTTATTGGCTTTTATATCTGTGAAAATATCAACGGCAAAATGAAAAGTCCAAACGCACTCGCTGCTGGTAATGTGGCGAGTTTCCGCATGGTTGAGACAGAGCTATCCATTTGTCCCACATTGCTCCTCCTCTATGCTAATGCTTTGATTCAGACAGTTAAACATTAATTTCCCAGCTGGAAGCTATTGACTTGTGTTTCACTGTGGAGGAAGGAATGTAGTGCTCCTTTGATCTTGGAAAATAACTTTAATGCAGCCAAAAGCCAAAACGTTAAAACGTACAGGGATTTAAGTTATCACAGTTCACATTTTTTTGAGAAAGATAAAGGATCCTTCTTTGGTAAAAAAAAGTTGACAAATGTGATCACTTTATAAACGGGCAAGGAGAAAATATGAAAACACAACTGTATTTAATTATAATTTTAAAGGATTATATAAAAGTAATATTTCGAGTATACCTTCAAATATACAAAGTATATATTAAGCAGCAGGCAGACCTCGCCGAACGCGGGGGTTACGTTCATGGAAAATGCTGTTGGGCAAAAATAGCGTTGTTCCTGTCTCCAAAATGATCACACCCTCCTTCCTTAACTAATTCTACATGATTTCCACCCTTGTTATTGTAAACACTAAACAGAACTTGATATTTTGCCAGATAAGGCCCATTGAGCAATTTAGCTTTTTCAGAAGCGACCTGGCCACAAATGATAGCTCAATGCAGTGGCTTATCACGTGGAAATTTATAGCAGCCAAATACTCTAAACGAATGTTTTTAAATGTGCATGAAAAACAGAAGACCCAGAGAAAAATTCACACAATGGGGAGATAAAAACTCCAAATATACAGGCGTCAGGGTCGGGATTGAACCTACAACCTCCATGAATACCAGGCGAGGGGGTAAACATCTCGCCACCGTGGCACCCCAGGATGCTGAGTCACTCTCCATATCTTGTGTGTGTACAGTACTATCTTCATTACTCTTCCCGCACCACGGTACTCACGCCCAACGCTCGCCCCAACACTGGCACTTGAACGTTCACGATTCGCTAACTAGGCATCCGTATGACTAACAACGTCCTCACGAAGTGTACGGCCAGATGCATGCGGTACTGTGACATTTGTGTTTAGTGTTGTTACATTATCACACGAAAAACATGCAATGACATACGCACGCAAAAACACGCACAAAAACATACGTGTTCATGTGTTGTGAAGTCATCCTCATTGTACAGCTTCAAATGTATCATTATCGCTCCTTTAAATACTTCTGAAGACAATTGCATTTTTTTGGAATCATGCGTATGCGCGATTTTTCTTCCTTACTCCATTTTTATACTTTAAATTCAATAAGCATACATGGTGTTTCAGACAGCACTAACTGGACCTTAACTTCTTCCATTCACTATATCACAGTACAGTACTCTGTTCTTTTAGTCTCCGGCTGCCTAAGTAAACTGGATACTTGTGAAGACACCGATGCTTAAGCTGTGTAGAACGTTTTACCGAATGAATATGCCCTATGTATTACAACATAGACAAAAAAAACATGACTGCGATACATTGTACAAAAAAGTAATCTTTTATTGAACCGCCTAATAATACAAGGCAAGTTTAAAAAATGAAAAGTAAAACTTTTCATGTGCAATGTACATAAAATAAAACCAGAACACAGCTTGTCATGACGTCCAAAAAACTGTACAGGTGTCTAGTGTAAACATTTTATATAATAACTACAGCTTCAAGTAACAAAACACACAAACCCTGACCCATGATGTACAGGTAACTGCCAAACTGTACTGAACACAGAAAATGCTCATTAAAACACACACAAAGCCGGCTTGCTAAAAAAATGGACCTCTTGAGGAAACACATTTACAACCATGGTCCGAACAACGGATGTAAAAAAATTTCTCTAATGGCAGCCACTTTCAAATTTCATGTTGCCAAGATGTGAAATTTTTTGACAAAGCAAGCAGCGCATGTCCAGGCAAAGGTAAATTCACATATCGGTTTTGAAGCAAATTTCTGAGCAGCCTTTAGATGGTCTTGACCACAGTACCTATAGCACTGCAGTTATGGGCAAGGAAGTTATACAGGTGTGCTACTGTACATTCAATGAGGCACAGCTTGGGGGGAATCTCACAAAACAGCGATAAAAGCACCATCAAAAACCCCCAATATCTTTGTTTCTACAGGTAGGCCTATTTTTTACGATTAGTTGCGCAAATGTGCAAACGTTTCATTTTTCTTTTCTAGTATGCATTGTGATACAAAGTGCATGAATGGACATCCTATGAGTAAACAAATGGGATCAGAGGAACGGGTAAATGATGACACGGTCCAATCGCTTATAAATTACATTTTACACGCGTTTCGAACATCTCATGGTATTTGAATGCTTTACTGTCAAGCGTGCTCTTGCTTTGCAATGTAAAAGATCGGTTAATAAATTATAGTGACACTGGTGGAAGGTAAATGCGGGTTACAACTCGCGGGCACATGTGCATGATTAAATGGACAGTAGCGCAAGAGGATGTAGTATCACCTTTAACAGCTTTACTAACATACCGCCATTGTAAAACAATACATTTTTTTAATAAAACTAATTGGAAGGAACACTGAGCATCTGTTTTTAATACAACATGGATTGTGAAGTTTAAAACGGACAATGCCATATATGTAGTCTGTTGACAAAACAAAATAAGTTGTTTTTTCAAGGTTTGATATTGGCCAAAATTAACTCTAATCCACAGTAATAAAACAATATCTTTATACAAAGCTGGAAAGGGAAAGAGTAAGGAAGGTTGGGGGAATTGGGTTTAATCTGCCAAGAGCAAGGCAAATACAAGTACACCATTGAACTGATGTGTCTAAAAGCAGCTAGAATTATTTCATGTGATCCAATCACATGATACTGTAAAAGGCTTCGTCAGTCCCTTTACACTCTGTTCTGCAAAAACAAGGAAAAAAACAATCATTAGACTTGCTTAAAAATAAACCCAAACATTTTCCACAAACGTATATACAATACTGTCAAATCTACCCGCAGGTTTATGTAAAGTATATAATACTGCATGTGAATGTAAAGACAGTTCTAGAAACATGTAACTGCATTTTATAGCTACAGCAGCGAGGCCGTGATTATATCAATTAAACAAGTGTAAAATATTACAGTACTCACTTTCTCACCTCTGTTGGGATGTAAATGAAGAGGACGGGGTCTGGGCAGTGGCAGGAGGACCTGAGGGGACTCCTGCTAACAACGACAGACACACACACGCAGAAGAACGTGGTCGGTGGAATAAATGTGAACGCTTACCCTACTTTGCACAAACTTTCGTTGCAAAAAAAAAGACACAATTGCAGCATGCCAAATGATCAGCGTTAATGTATTTCGGATCAATTCTGAGCGATTCCAGTTGAATTTGGATGACGCCACCGAATTGCACTCTCTTTTCAAATGCATGTTAGGTTGATCCATTGATCATCAATTAGGGCCCACTAGTCTCAGTTAAAAATCAATCATGGTAATTTGGGCTAGATTTCGAATATACTGTTTTTAGAATTGCAATGATATTTGTTTGATGCTCAGTGCAATTCTTTCTTTGTATAGAAGCCTCAATGATTTAAAAGGGTTAATGCATGCTCCTTGTTACTTTGGTACAATGAGCCACCTTAGTTTTCCAGAATGCATGTCCCAGCTCATGTTAATATGGATCGTTTGAACTTCACTCAAGCTGGTCATTCGATAAGAGTATTAAGGACACCCAACTTGAATTTTGGAATATATAAAAACTACGACATTAATGGAAATATGAGATTAAAGTCATTATTGCATAAGGGGATTTGATATTACAAGAATATAATCTTGCAATAATATTTTTAATGTAAATTACATTGTCAAGGTTTTACAAACTTTGATGAATGTAATGTCTCGCAGGGCAGTGACATGGCCGAGCGATCGCGCGGTTTGTCGCTCATTGCAGACGTTTGTGTTTTCAGCCCCACGACTGTCCTTTGTAAATACTTTGGGTACTTGATTCATAAATACGTGCCATCTGCTTTACAGTGGACGTTAATGTTATTCAATATAAGGTAGGCCACGTGTGCCAGCATCACAGTCCAACATTTTTAAGTCACCTGCAAACCACTGAATTGGGAAACATATAGCAACATCACCCTCCTACTGCTAAACTTTTGCTATCGTTCATGATTAGCCTTATGATATAAGAATGGAGCAAAATACTAATTGTTCCCAAGGATTTTCTTTCACAGGTCTGCGAAACATTGCGCCTTCGTGATTAGCCGTGGGCGCGATAAGAATGGTGCTTAGGCCAAATGTACAAATTATTTTATTTTATTAAGACGATCGTGTGGCCGGGAACTCGGACGGGAGGGATGCGAGGTACACGTTACATTGGGCAGTGGCCTCACCTGGGTAGTGCTCGTACTGCGTAGAGAGCCCGGGGTACCCCACCCCCGTGTGGGGAGAGTGATGGGAGTGCCTCTGTGGTGGCGGCGTCAGGCGCTTTTTACCCTTCTCTCCGCCACCCTCTTTGTCCTTCTCCAAGGTCGACTTATCACTCATCTAATGCAGGGAACGGATTATCAGGATTACGGATTTGTCTTTACCTTTCTCAAAGCCACCACTGAGTAACACTACATTAATTAAATAGTGCTTCTTTCTAGCCATGCACTTTGACACCTGACGAGTAATAATATTTAACACTCATGAAATATAAATCAACTTCAGCAGCCATAATTTGGCCCTGGCGCAGTCGGTCAAAACAATGATTGCCACACTCACTGAAAATTAACATGTTGTGGAGTGCTATATCAGTAAGCTGACTGCAAAAGGTTGATCCACTACACTGCTGATGCAGTCCATGTGATACACATTCTTAAACAGTGACAATCTGTCTGGACACTTTAATCCACATTTACATTTAACCACAAGTTAAATTATTTACGTTTGGTGACTGCTGATCAGAAGTCTTGCCCTCCATGGACTTTCCTCCCGTCTGCCTCTCACATTCGCCTTCCTCTTGGCCAGACATCTTCCCATAGCCAGTGTAGTACAGGCTTGGAGAAAGGTAGCCTCCTGGGAGAAGCAAAAAAAAGTTAATTATTTTTTAGCAGAGTTCTCACAATCAATCATACCCTTCCAACCTCTAAAAATATATTTAGCTGTACGATGCGGTTTCGGATTGTAACGCGTGCTGTTCGGCACAATGTTCAACGTTTTGCTGCACGTGTTGGCAGCTTCTTCGGGAACACCGTGCCAAACAACATGCGGTTCAACCCGAAAATGCAGAGAGCCGTACAGCACAACCGTGAAAATCTACGCAGAAAAACTCTTCCCCCGCACCTCTGATTAGCACGGTTGGCAATGTACAGCGCGAAATAAGTTAAGATACATACATATACAGTGGGGGAAAAAGTATTTGATCCCCTGCTGATTTTGTACTTTTGCCCACTGACAAAGAAATAAACAGTCTATAATTTTAATGGTAGGTTTATTTGAACAGTGAGAGACAGAATAACAACAACAAAATCCAGAAAAACGCATGTCAAAAATGTTATAAATCGATTTGCATTTTAATGAGGGAAATAAGTATTTGACCCCTCTGCAAAACATGAATTAGTACATGGTGGCAAAACCCTTGTTGGCAATCACAGAGGTCAGACGTTTCTTGTAGTTGGCCACCAGGTTTGCACACATCTCAGGAGGGATTTTGTCCCACTACTCTTTGCAGATCTTCTCCAAGTCATTAAGGTTTCGAGGCTGACGTTTGGCAACTCGAACCTTCAGCTCCCTTAGATTTTCTATGGGATTAAGGTCTGAAGACTGGCTAGGCCACTCCAGGACCTTAATATGCTTCTTCTTGAGCCACTCCTAGTTGCCTTGGCCGTGTGTTTTGGGTCATTGTCATGCTGGAATACCCATCCACGACCCATTTTCAATGCCATGGCTGAGGGAAGGAAGTTCTAACCCAAGACTTGAAAGTACATGGCCCCGTCCATCGTCCCTTTGATGCGGTGAAGTTGTCCTGTCCCCTTAGCAAAAAAACACCCCCAAAGCATGTTTCCACCTCCATGTTTGACGGTGGGGATGGTGTTCTTGGGGACATAGGCAGCATTCCTCCTCCAAACACGGCGAGTTGAGTTGATGCCAAAGAGCTCCATTTTGGTCTCATCTGACCACAACACTTTCACCCAGTTGTCCTCTGAATCATTCAGATGTTCATTGGCAAACTTCAGACGGGCATGTATATGTGCTTTCTTGAGCAGGGGGACCTTGCGGGCGCTGCAGGATTTCAGTCCTTCATGGCGTAGTGTGTTACCAATTGTTTTCTTGGTGACTATGGTCCCAGCTGCCTTGAGATCATTGACAAGATCCTCCCGTGTAGTTCTGGGCCGATTCCTCACCGTTCTCATGATCATTGCAACTCCACGAGGTGAGATCTTGCATGGAGCCCCAGGCCGAGGGAGATTGACAGTTCTTTTGTGTTTCTTCCATTTGCGAATAATCGCACCAACTGTTGTCACCTTCTCACCAAGCTGCTTGGCAATGGTCTTGTAGCCCATTCCAACCTTGTATAGGTCTACAATCTTGACCCTGACATCCTTGGAGAGCTCTTTGGTCTTGGCCATGGTGGAGAGTTTGCAATCTGATTGATTGCTTCTGTGGACAGGTGTCTTTTATACAGGTAACAAGCTGAGATTAGGAGCACTCCCTTTAAGAGTGTGCTCCTAATCTCAGCTCGTTACCTGTATAAAAGACACCTGGGAGCCAGAAATCTTTCTGATTGAGAGGGGGTCAAATACTTATTTCCCTCATTAAAATGCAAATAAATTTATAACATTTTTGACATGCGTTTTTCTGGATTTTCTTGTTGTTATTCTGTCTCTCACTGTTCAAATAAACCTACCATTAAAATTATAGACTTATCATTTCTTTGTCAGTGGGCAAACGTACAAAATCAGCAAGGTATCAAATACTTTTTTCCCTCACTGTATATATTTGAGTAACTCGAGAATGATGGTACAGCATTCAAATGTCACTACTGTACACAATAGGTTGCAATTAATAACATTTCAAACGGATGCTAATTTTTAACAACGTTTGCACTTCAATATCTTACTCTTTGGTTCATTCGGTAAAGTCACGTGGAAAGGAAAGAAATGAAATAATAGAATACGACTTTTCGATTGCAACACAAGCAGTCGTCATCAGGTGGAAAATAAACCTATTGAACTTCTAAATTTGAGAGAGAGGACAAAACACAGACACGGAGACACACAGACAGACACACAAGCAGAGACACAAATTTTGAAGTTCACTAGGTTTGTTTTACACCTGATGACGACTGCTTGTGTTGCAATCGAAACGTCGTATTCTATTATTTCGTTTATTTCCTTTCTACGTGATGACTTTACCAAAAGAACCAAAAAGGTAATTCCTGCAGTCACGAAAGCTTTAAATCAAACTTCTAAATCTTCTTGATACTTACAAACTGACATGCATGTAAAATGATTCAGTATTGACCCACTGTCTTAAATTAAAACAACTTTACGAGCAATGCGTACCTGCATAGAAATGCATCATCATGGGGGGCACGCCACGGTAAGCGGGATGGTTGGGGTCGTACATCTGCGCGTAAGGATTCTGCGACATGTACTGAAGGAAGGAGCCTGAAGCGTTCACTCCTGGCTGAGAGTCCTTTGAAGCCGAGCTCGACTTCCCATCGTCCTTGTCCTCCCCAGCGTCGGTCACGTTTGAGCCCGACAGGGGCCTCTTGCCATCCCTGGAGTCCCCTTTGCTTTCACTCCTCTCGCCCTCTTTGTTCGCCTCCTTGTGCTTCTTCTCCATTTTCTTCCAGCGTTCCTCTTCGGCTCGGTGCTGCTCCAGGTACTGTGCATAATACAGCTGCTGCCACTGGTTTACGTCGAATTCCTGAAAGAGCGAACAAGGGCGGCTCTTTGTTATTTACACTCGGCTGCCTTATCGGGCAACGGATTCCTGGTGCTGCCGAGTGTAAGAGCTGGTCCCCCCCCCCCCTTGCAGTATCGAGTCGAGTTAAACCAAATACAGTGCACCATAAAAAAAGTATAACCTTTACAATAAAAACAAACATTGTCTGCTACACTTGTAAAAGCGACCCATGTTGGTTTGCCATTCATAGAAAATATATTATTTCATACATTCAAAAATAAATCTCGTATGACTGTACCTGTTTATAGAGTCCACTTTGATCCATTCCAGAGTGGTCAGCACATTCGGTTGTTGGCTTTAGTTCCTCTGTAATGGGGATGTGGTTTTGGGTTTGCCTTGCTGCAAGACCTTCCTCTTGTTGAGTAGACATCACTGGCAGCTCTTCAGAAAACACAGAGCCTCCTTTCAGGACTTCGGAACCTGTGCCTTTGGCAGTGTCAAAGTTTAAGGCAGACTTTGGGGCACTAGCAGTAGCTGATGGGACAGACTTTCTCTTTCCCTCCCCAGATTTTGACAAGTCTTTGCTCCGATGCTTACTCTTTTTCTCGTTGTGTTTGATTGCCGTCGGCGGGTCAGAGTTCGGGGTGCTGCTGAACGGCTGGCTACGATACCTGGGGTCATAGTAACCATAACCATACGCGTACTGCTGGTAGTAAAGTGACCGAGGAGAGAGTGGGGCACCCTGCTGGATGACGGACTGATGCTGCGAAGTGAGGTCAGGTTTGTCACCCTCCACCATTTGTCCATTGCCACTTCCACAACCTGAGCCATCGTCCTCCTTTTTAATTTGTCCAATTTGGGTCAGCATGCTGTCATTGGGAGCATTCACGTTGGACTGTAGCTTGGACGACGGCGAGTAGTAAGCATTGTAGTCGGAGTAAAACGACGTCTGATCATCACTCTGTATTGCACGAGTGTCCAGAGTTGTAAGCTCTGCATCGTTGAAGCCAAGCACTTTTGTTGGTGGTACCTTTTTGACATGCTCACCCTCCCTGTCTTCACCATCATCCGATATGTCCGAGTAAGCTGGGCTGTTGGTGTTTGAGGCCATGAGTCCCTCCAGACCATTCTGAATAACAGCATGCAGTGGAGTCAGACGCCCATTTGATAAGCTGGTACGGGCACTCTCCACACGGCAGGCACTGCCAATGGATGGGCTCGGAGCATTGTCTGTGAAATTGTACACCTTGGCAGCCTCTGCTTTGATACTTGCTATTCGTTTCTCTGGTACCTCTGCAGATCCATTAAACATCCCTTCTGTCTTAACAACGTAATCCTTTGTTAATGGATCTGAAAACTCTTTCCCATCTTTGCCATCATCTGATCTCCCGATTACTTTCAAACTCAACTTCAGGCTAACTGTCTCCTTACAATCTCTGTCTTTGGATTTCTTTTTATCCTTTTTCTTTTTCTCTTTCGTTGGAGTAATGTTTGGTGATGTAGCGACAATTTCCGGTATAGAAGCTGGTTTTGGCTGAATAGGTTTAAGCGGTGGGCTTTTTGGCATTGTTTTAATAACAGTTGGTATCACGGTAGCGGCATGAATTCCAATTGACGCTGCATTTCCCGCAGAGGGGGAATTGGAATAGTTTGTCCCCGGCATAGCTACCAACTGGGGTGGCGGAGGTGCGGGGGCAATTGGCCTGGCTGCCTTGGGTTTTGGGGATGTTTTATTCTCAATTTTGATGCTGGTCACTCTTTTTGATTTTTCTGTACTTTCCTCCTTGGGAGACTTACCACCAAAGGGGCCTTCTACTTCCAATTTTGGCATTTCACTCAGTGGGCTGCCACTAGCATTGTCCTCGCTCTGGTTTACATCTCCATTCACATTGGTCCCATTTTCTCGGATGCCTCTTTTGCTTAGGCCTTTTCCCTTAGAATGGGATGTATGCAGAGTCTCAGGAGAAGATGTGTCAAGTGGACTAACTGGCAGAGAACTAGATTTTTCTTTTAAGAGGTCCAAACACTGGCTACCATTTGATAAGGAGACAGAACTGCCATTCAAATCACAACCTTTTAGTTTCACAGGGCTGCTGCTGTGCTCCGACTCGGTGCTTTTGTCCTCATTGTCATTTCCATCCTCCTGCTTGTTTTCATTCTTTAAGTGAGCGTGAGCTTGGTGATATTTCAAGCCATTGATGTGCCTGTATTTCTTGTTGCAGTTCGGATGAGGACAGTCGATAAGGGCAGGCGATGAAGCTGACGAAGATGGAGTTTTGTAGCTCTGTGACTCCAAAGGGGTCAGCTCCAGCCTGGCCTGCGAGTTTATTACACTTGGTGTCATTAGATTGTTATTAGTAGTCCTTGGGCTTGGCCTTAACCTTTTGCCTGGCCTGCCCTCCTCCAACCCATGCTGGGGTGAAGGAAGGTCGGAGGCAGGCCGTCCTTTCCTCTTCCCGTTGGGACTCGCCTTCACATCGTCCCCGGTGTTGACGTGTGACGAGTTCCACTGTCCGTTGGCGGTGAGGCTTCCGCGGCGACCCTTGCCACCGTTAGCGCCACCTGTTCCCCTGCCCTTGCCGTGTGGGGCTCGGGGCTCGCCGGGATTGTTGATCTCGTTTTGGGAGGCGTTCGAGCCTGCGCGAGCTCTCTTACCCCGGCCGCGTCCCCCCCGTGCCTCCAGGTCACTTGTAGGAGAGTCGCAAAATCTAAAGCGGGGGACACAACAAGGAAATGATTAAAATAGCACACGCCGCCGTGAGCCTAAATTGACGGTAAACATTAACATGTGTATTAAACGTGCCATTTTCAATTATTTTCTGGTCAAAGTGCCAGGCGTAAATTCACAACGCTGATGGGGCTGGAAATTAAAAAGGCATGTGCTTTTCAGTACAAGTGTGCATCACCCATTACAATGTGTTTGGAAATATAAATGTTTAAGCATGTTGGATGTACTTTGTACAAGTCAATAATACCTTGGGGGTGCCCATTCATGTTTTGTGCAGTCCAGCAAAGTCCCAACATAAGACTTGTTACGCCATGTCACGTTAACAACCAGCATACCTGTTGAACAAAAAAATAAACATTTCAGTATTTTATCAGCATCGTTAAGTCATATCTCCATACTACAAAAAAAGAAAAATCTAATTACAAAATAAATTATCCTTAGCAGTATAATTTACAACCACTGTATGGCATTATACAACAAAATACAGTAATGTAATCAGATTACAATGTTCAACGTGGAACATTATTGGCTTGAAATAACAAAATCAACGTTTGTGTCCCAACCTCGAGATTTATATAAATGTTTTGTGTGTCTGCAGGTATATTTAAAGTCATTATAATTTCGACATGCTACACACACTGTAGTTGTAACAACCAGCTGACAAGTGGCAGCACTTTTCTACTCCTGGCCTAATTTACATTCTACCACATCATCACTGGAGCTAGAAATTTCAATATCCAGTGTCAAACCTCTTATGAAAAATGCTTAGGGCTGCTTTCAAAATTCAAATAGCTTGCATTTTTTTGTTAGAACGAGTGCAGCACATATCTAGCTGAACAATTAAGCAGTATATTTTAAATGTCTTGAAAATCTGAAAAATGAATACCTTGGTTAAAATCTAGACTTCCTTTTTTAAACAGAAAGCTTTCCCCATGCTGGAAACTCGATACAAAATAACGTATTCACATTTACAGCTTTGCTTCATATTTCGTAACAAAAAAAACTGTGATTCCCTGCCCAAATGAGCACCGTTTACAGCCCTGACCCACAGTGGTGGAAATTCCACATTCATATGGTGGGGGATAAGTTCTGCCATACATAAGACAACCACTGTTGACTACCCCACCAAGTGGAACTCATTTTATTGACCCTGAAGGGATGATGGCCTGAGTCAATGCAAGGCATGATCACAAAGTTTAGAAATGGTTAACACTCATCATGCTTGATTTGGAGCTTTCGTGTTGCTCATAATGCAATATTTAAACCCAGAATACCAAATTATCATCAGCAAATCTATTACATTATAATGTTGAGTAAATTATGCGCTCAAAGTAAGTGTAACTTCAGTTGGTGAAAAACGTTTGGTCATATTCTGAAATGCTTTGATAATCAATAAACATTTATTCTTTTTTATATTGAAAACAATTCTTGAAACATACATACTGCATTAAAATCTCAAAAGGTTACATAAAGCCATTGCTAGCCTCTAATAACCTCATAATTATTTTTTTAGACCAGGAATGCCACATAAGTTTAATGCCATTAGCTGTGTTTGCAGTTCATTTTTTTTATTAATAAAGTCATACATCCTGCATGAAATACCTGAAATACAGCACAAAACGGAAACATTGACACTTAGGCTTCTAACTTGTAACACCTGTAAAATGTGTAACCTAGAGATTGACTAGTAGAGCAGTGTCAATGCTGAGAAGCAGAATCAAAAGCAGCCCGGCCATTCACAGAACGTGTTTTGACACATTTTCACAAAAGTCAGTATTTTATGGTCAATTGGATACACTCATTACAGTGTTACATAAAACGACTTCGATTTACTCACAAATTTTTTTTTACGTAAAAAACACCGTATTTAAAGGAATAATTTGGTAACATAGCAGTTAAAAAAAACACCCGAGTGATATTAAATAACGAAAAAGGTCTATGTTTATATTTTGTAATTTCTTCCTGCTGAAAGAATCAATCAATAGCCAACGGCGGAACAATGTCACAGTGAAATGCAAAAAGAGAGGCTTTTGTTACTGCAAGCTAACCCTATTAGTTTCAGAAGCTTGGTTCTTATGAAACCCAACTGGGAGTGCGCTTAAGATTCCGTGCCATGCGAGAGGGGAAATGTGCATTGTCAGCAGTCTTAGCAGATCTTGAATAGTGACCTTTTAAACAACTGAGGCCAAACAGTCTAGCACAAAGATTGCTTGCCCTGCTTTTTTCAATTATTGTCAAGCAGTTTTGGATACGAAAAAAAAACCTCTGCATCTTGTTTCACTTGAGTTTCCATCATGTTAAACAACTGTTGAAAAATACAAATGGATGTAATTTTTTTTCTACTTCATTGGGCCCTTACAAAAGCAAAGAGTATTGTTTTAACCAATCGCTTGCTTATTAGAACACTTAGGCACACGGGGCAACATTTGAGAATGTTTAGGCTTAACGCAAATTAAGGTAGCAGAGGGGCACATTAATGGATAGGAAACAACTTTTCCATCGCAGTGACCCAGCCTGGAATCCAGTCCCTACGTCCGGTGAGGGCCTTGCTTTGGTCAGTTAAGCCTAAAACAACACACATTACAATTGTAGACCTAGATGACTAGCAATTACCTCACACTGTATTAAAATAATTGTAATAAAACAAAAAAGCAAACAAAGCAAGTGGTTTACTATTACTTGTTATGCGATGGTTTTTTTTCTATTCATGACAGATAGTGCGGTGTTATAAAAGCCAAATCATACACCGCAGATATGTATTTTGAGCCTTTGAAATAAATTCATATCAACAATCAGTGTCAATGTTCTACTGAGAAGCGCAGAAGAGTGCAGCTGCCATGTACCAATAAAACCGTCTGGCTGAAGGAGATAGACAAACGACAGATGTTATTATGGCCTTAGCTTTATGAATCCTCCACATTTAATGGAGCAATACAAATAAAAAATGCCGCAGTAGGAAATAAATGAATACTATGAAGTACATACATCCAGTAAACAAAGTCCAAATGCTGCAGAAATATTTTTAAAATGTACACGAAAATAAAATGTAAATCTATGCTCTGAAAAATTCTGAATTTTACATACAATTCAAAACACAAATTAAATAAGGCTACAGTTTGTACTGTAGCTGCTCGTGTCTTGTAGTCATTTGAAGATTAATGCAACATTTTTTAACGCGTAGGGTAACTAAGAAGTGGTTTAAGTTCACGCTCATTTATTTCTGAAATGACTGGACTTTTTAAGAACCGAAAATACCAAAAGCTTCTCGGGATTTCCACATGTTTCACAACCGCAGTATAAACGATTCTTACATTCGAAAGCACCGTATTCAAAATACGACGCAAAACGGGAGTAACCAAGAGCCAAGTCGCATGCTTGCTTGAACAAATGCTTGACTTTGCGGTTTTGACTTTAAGCCTTAGGAAGACATACTGACTCACCGACCACATTCAAAATATACAAATAATTACGGCTACAAAACATTTATTCGGCAATTTGTTGTTTTGGGTTTGCTACAGGGACACCGAAAATATGCGTCACCAGTGAAAACTGAGTAATCTGGCATTGTGAAGAAGACACAGACACGAGGATTAGACCGCCTTGTTGCGTTGAGTGCATCCCAACAGATACACGTCATGACGGTGCCTGCTTAAAGCACCAGTAGGGATTGCAGAGGATTACGCTAAGAGTCCGACCATTGGCCCATCATAAAGTCTTGCAACCTATGTGAATTTTATATAGGGTACGCCTTGTTAATACTGACAAAAAAATGCACACAATTACTTAGTTAAAAGACAGATGCTATCTTTAACACTTCGCACCACCACAAGCCCCGCATTTCTATCTGCATAAGAACCTTATGGGGGTACCCCGGGGTTCCATAGTACCCCGGCTCTCGCATAATGTCCGTGATGCAGTCACTTTTAGTATGTCGATGGTCGGCGATTCGGCAATCGACTCATCTCGACGAGCTGTACTCACGATGCACCACCGCTACGGTGCGTACGAGCGTCCAGGGTCTGAGTGCAATGGTCCTTCGCTGCGTTTCGACATCGTGGAGTGGCACTGATTTCGCATTGTTACACCAGTCGCGGAGTTAAGTAACACCCCTGGAAAAAATAAGTGTCCCAGAAATACAATATCTAATTGCCTCGGCCATTTTCTATTATTTGGTACCCCGGGGTACCGCCATAAGGATCATATACCGCGTCAATTATATATTAAAGTAGTATTATTTTTGGCGTATCATCACTCATATCTGTTAATGAGCTGAAATTGTAACAATAAATAGCTCCAGGAGACACTCTTCACTTGGGGCAGTTTAAAACAATCATATGCAAATCAGTTGGTATGATTTTAGATTGGAGATGGATGAACGTATAATAAAAATGGCTCTAAACAGCTTTAATAATGAAAAACAAACCACAAGCATGTTCAAATATACGGTGTTATACAGGAGAATGGTTGTAACTGAACCAAACCAAAGGTTATATAAACAAGACGTATTCTATCTTACCCTGCTGCCAGGTTCCTAACCCCTTACCAATTACCCTAATGCATTTTCTTTCCCTTTTAAAACCCTCAAAGCAGTTAACATCAGGGAAAGTATCGTGAATACATTCCGTCGACTTTTCTGTGCAATAAATGTAAACACACTTGATATTTCCAGTGTAATGTTATGGTAAGATCCGAATAAAATGTTTACAACACAGCACTGAGAAAATTAATAAAAATGTGCACATTCTCAAGTTTGCAAAGCTTTTGAAAATACTGCCTGTTCATTATTAATACGATTTGGACTTGTGCTTTCCATTCCACAAGAATTACGGCCTAACCATCTCCCGCATTCACATTAGCACGACACATATGCTCTGCATGCTTTATGTAGCAGAACTTGGCACCGCTGAAACATGCTGCTTCTTGAACCTCCTTAGGGACCTAAATGCCAGGCCACAGTAACTCATTCCACACACAGAGAATCCTCAATGCAAAAATATGAAAATTTAGTGGTATCCATCAATTTTACACACTGCATACAATACCCCAACTGGATAGCAATATAAATTGTGGACGTATTGACACAATCGTGTGACTGAGGAATTATATGGCACTTTCGTACAACAATCCCGCACGGCTTTGAGAATTGCAGCAGGGTGCCTCCGGTGCCATTATACAAATCAAATTTGACTGAGTGCGCATTCATGGCTGCGTTTCCATGTCCCGCAATCGTTTGCAAGCAGAATAACTGGAACTGCATGAATAATATTTACGGGACTTCAGACATTCGCCCCCTGTCCATTCAGTAAAATACGGTAAAAATTTCTGCTACTCAAAAATAACGTCAGCAGAATTTGCATTTACAGGTGGTGAAACTAAGTAATGTAACATGCTGTATAAGCTGCTGTGTGCTTTGTGGGAAATCTTAGCATGCGTTAGTCTTTGATTTTGAGAATGAACTCTCATGTTAATTATATATACAAAATAATAATGTTAAAAACGTGGAATACCCATAATAAAGAGGTGTTTCTGTGATGTATGTGACCATGCCGTTCATAACTATGCCATTTCCAAGTCTCTTCTATACTTCAGTGTCCATGAATATAATAGTAACAAAAGAACTGGCTGCTGTCATTGTTTTCTGTATCAAAGCGTCACTCATGGAAGTAAAAAATGGTATCGATGCACGTTTTGTGTCCTTACCTTGATTAAAGGGCCACACATTGTTTTAGTATTATTGTATACAGTCTATTGCATGTTGGATTTAATACAACTACCGATTCATTGGCAAGCGAAAATTGAGAATTAAATTTAAAAACACTACAATGTATTGCTTTATGTTTCTATTTGAAGGCTAAATTTCGGACATTACCTAGTAGAATGTATTGCACTTTTGAAGGCTTATTGTAACACAATAAATACTGTGTTGCATAATCTGGACAGAGTATTCTATCAAAATCCCATTGTCTCCCATTAGTGCGATTCTATTGTATGCATATATCTTAAAATTATATTCAGTGCATAAGCTTATAATACTGCGGATAATGAAGAGTTGTTCTTAATAAATGTAGCAGCACTCCAGGATTATCCATCGGTTCATATGATCCCATCACAGTTGTATCAGTACTAGCTAAACTAGGGAACAATTACATGGTTGTCTGCACATGGTTCTAGCTACGTGCAGGAAAACTCTCACGCAGTTAAAACTCGTTAATATAGGCTCAACAATGCAAACACCAGGAGTCAAAGACATCAACAATAAATATCTTGGCAAGGTGAAAGTCTCGATTTAAAGCTTTCGTGACTGCAGGGATTCATATTCTTGGTTCTTTCGGTAAAGTCACGTAGAAGGGAAACAATAAAATATTTTTTTATTATTTTGTTTCCCTTCTACGTGACTTTACCGAAAGAACCAAGAATATACGGTGAAAGTCGTTGAACAGTTGCCATGTGGAATAAGTGTATCTACTAGGAAGGTAGTAATATTATGACAAATTAAATTGACCCATGCGGTCTAATAGCCAGAATCTTTTTAACCATTTCAAAACATGGCTTTTTTTGTACCTTATAATAAAGCAATGTTTCTTTGGTTTGTTATGTTACACACAGTGCCATTTTGACATCTTAAATGAGTAGTCAAAACACACCGCCAAAAGCGATTTGCTCTAATGACGGCGATGGGGATATTGACAAAGGGTGCCAAATCACGCACCTCCGATTAACACGGTTGGCTACATACGGTGCGAAAGAAGTTCAACATACATACAAAATGTATTGTGTTCGTAAATCCTGTATAGTAGTATGTTATCGTAAAAGTAAAGAGAGCCATAGACAGCCCATCTAGAGGGTATCTGTGGGGATACTCTTCCACACTGGCCTTGGGACAAGTGGGGGTACCTACACTTTATTCCACCACGTGCAACCTGCCAATCTTCTTCTGATGGAGATGCGGAGCAACAACTACGATTTCACATTCAGGCGGTCAAGCCAAATAACCGTGTCAGGAGCGGCGTCGGCCGTGAAGTCTCCTTCATATTTGTGGATCGGGCATTGCACCGTTATATGTTGTATGGTCTGCTCTCGATGACCAGTCACACACTGGAGAGTTTTAAATTTTCCATTTGTGCATCAGGTATTCGCATCTGCCATGGTTTGTGCTGTGGGTGTTATTTAGGGTGGACCTAACAAACTATGGTGCACCCATTTATATTGCTGGGTGGAGAGAGGTGGGTAGGATTTAAAAAAACTTGCCCATTATATCAACCGCCATGTATGTATGTATGTTGAACTTCTTTCGCACTATATTCTTGGTTCTTTCGGTAAAGTCACGTGTTAATCGGAGGTGCAAATGTCTGGAGATGGGAACTGGTGACCTCTGGATTGCAAGTCCAGTGTGCTAACCATTACACCACAACAGCATTCCCAGATATTATAGTACTGTATATAAAAAACATAAAAGTACATATTTTAAATCTGTATGATCTGCGCGATGAAAGCAATAAATATGACTGTGATAAATATTTTTTTACGATATGGTGAATCTTTTTTTTAGTGTACATAATTACAAAAATATAAATGTTATGCTGTCAAGTATAATTCTATTGCTGGAGACAGTCAAGCAGCATTAATGGCAGAATTCCTAAACCAGGTACCCAAAACAACAGGGAAAGACTGGGATTTTGAGCAGAACTTCCAACTAAACATATGACAAGAGAAGCAGCTAACTTCTAGGAGTGAAGCCCAACAGTGACCAAACAGTGAAAATAGATGTCCAAGACAAACAATGGATAACAGTCTCCAGTGATGCACTGTCAAGCCAAAGGCTGTGGGGGGAAGGCTTTGCCTTTTGTGCAGAAGAATGAAAACCAATATTGATGAGTATTATGCGCAAAACCACCAAAGCACCCAAAGAACAATGGGCTCAGTTGAAGTTGTATTCGCGTCTCGAGAATACATTCTCAGGCACACAACGATATATGATGTATGGTCATAGAAGGGTACAAAAAACCCATTGTGTGCTGAAGAGCGCAATTAAATATTAAATGTAATTGTTGTCAAAAGGCTCTTGGCAAAACTGCAGTGAGGGTGAAGTATCAAAAATATACAGGTAATGATTTTTAGCCCTTTAGTCAAACCACTGCGAGATGGTGGCCTCTCGATTACCTTGGGAGGTGTTTGGCCATCCTTCAACATGCTGGTCAGTATGCGTCAGCAAAGAGGAGATTTGGAGACCAGGACCTATTCATATATCATTTGCCACTAATGTTAGCAGTAGTCAGGAATACAACTAAGGTAGCCGGGATTATAGTGCAGTGTGCTAACCACAGTGCCACCATTCTACCTTGCAATGTTTTGTTGAAATCACTGCTGATGGAATGGCCTCTATTGGAGGGGAGCTCTAGAAAACCCTTAAAGAGGGCATTTGGCCTACTCTTTCATGCTGGCCAGATGTCCTGGAATAGTTAGGAGCACTCACACTTTACCCCACCAAGCATGAACCTGCCGATCGACTAACTGCGGTGTACACATTGATATTGCTGGGTAGACAGAGGCGAGAGGGTGGGGTTTAAGAAACTTGTCCTGTGCTTCAACTGAAGCGCCCGCGATCGAGCTCAAACTGGCGACCTCCTAAAGTCCATTGCGCTCACCGATACATCGCGGCAGCATCAAGAGTCTTCAAGGCAATGCGGTAAATATGCTGCTAAATAATATAAATGGCGATTTAAAGCTTTCGTGACTGCAGTGATTCATATTATTGGTTCTTTCGGTAAAGTCACGTTGAAGGGAAGCAATAAAATAATAAAATATATAAAAAATAAAATTCTCACGACGTTTCGACTGCAACACAAGCAGTCATCATCAGATGTGAAAACCAACGGCAAGAACATTTGAAAACATTTGAACATTTGAAAACATTTGAAAATGTTCTTGCCGTTGGTTTTCACACCTGATGATGACTGCTTGTGTTGCAGTCGAAACGTCGTGAGAATTTTATTGTTTTATATATATTTTATTGTTTCCCTTCAACGTGACTTTACCGAAAGAACCAATAATATAATATATATGGCATGACACCGCAATGCTGTGAGGTAGGTGCAACTAGTGGAGTGGGGTGGGGGGGGGGGGGGGTGAGGAAGAATAACATACTCTCAGTCTCATGCCAGACAATGCCCTCCAGGTTGATGCAGGTGCCCGGCTCGCAGGGTCCCAGGCAGTCGGGCTCCGTGACGCTGGCCGCCTCGCACGTGCTCACGCCCACGGTGCGCGTGCGGATGAGGATCTGCTCTTCCGGCTCGGCTTCCACCAGCGTGGAGGCGCACACCCCCCCAGCAGAGCATGCCATGGGGCATAGAGTGGTGCCACTGCCTCCTCCTCCTCCTCCTCCTCCCACCGCCCCGGACAAAGTCTGTTGCTGCTGCTGAGGCCGCATCAGCCGAGGGTCCTCTACCTCAAGAGAGTCCACAAGAGAGGGTGCGCAGGGCGGTGACGAGGGCAGCAGCATTGTGGGAGGTGGTGGGGGTGCTGGCATGACGAATTGTGAATCGGCCTGCAATCAAAACAAATAAAGGATCACAATGGGATTGTTGAACAAACAATTGCCATCAGCAAACTGATGTCATGCTTGATATGTCCATGCTTTAACCTAGACAAATGAGTACAATGTGCAATTTCAGGAGCAGGCACATAAAGAGACAAGTTTTTTTGGAGTTGAGCATTGAACACATGCAAGGACACATTTTTGTTTAATTCAACAGACGAAACAATACAAATATGTGTATAAAGTACGTTATTTTTTTAATCTTCTTAAACTGTGAAAGATAGTCAATCACTTAAATGTGCTTTTTTTCATAAGTCATTTTCAACAAAGTGAGTAAACCCCTATGTGCATATTAGGAAGTAAAAAAAACAGAACTTTCAAGATGCTGGTAGAGTGTATAATAAAGTAACAATTAATAAATCGCATTTTAAAGAGCACCTTGCCTCCCAAGTAGATGTCTAATTTAGCATACAAAAAAGTGGAAAGTTTGTACCAAAAAAGTGGAAAGTTTATACGATTCAAGATGAAACTCAAATACATACAAAACTGCATTTAACTAATCCAGGCCGCAGTTACTTTTATACAACGTTGTAACGTATATTATGTGGTTATTTCGGTAAAGTCACATTGATAGAAAAAATAAAAGTAAATAAAATAAAATAAACTGCGACATTTAGATCACAACACAAGCGATCCTCCTGATGATGATCGCTCCTGATGACAATCGCTTGTGTTGTGATCGAAACGTCGAAGTTTTTTTATTTTTTGTTATTTACTTTTATTTTTTCTATCTTCGTGACTTTACCGAAAGAACCAAAGAATATGAATTCCTGCAGTCACGAAGGTTAAGTAAAAATTTTACATTATAATGGTTGGGCAGACCGATAGGTAACTCAAACTAAATATTGTACTTTGAAAGTGATAAATTAAGTACTGTATATCTTTGTTAAGTATAAATTAGAAGTACAGTGCTATTTTAATATATATTTGCTTCATTAACACAGCAACACAGCTGAAAATACAAAAATGTGTTGGGTAAATACAATTTTTGAGATTGAAATCTATACTATGACCTGGGAAGTTATTTAATTAATAACACACACCACTAAAAAATAACGTTTTTTACAGTCAAAATACTTAACTTTATCAAAATAAGCAGTCTAGCCGAATGTTAAAGAGTGCATTGTAACACGTAGGCTTGCTTTTGGTGGTGTTATTGAACATCAGTGTAAAAGTAATATCCATTGAACAAGATCTACTCAGCATTCACCTGGGCTATCAAGGCACTGACACAAAAGCAGGGGACGCGGGATAGAGGCGGCATTTACCAATTTTAATTTCCATTCATTAAAACCAACATCAGATTACAAACACCCCCCTCCCCCAAACGTGCATCCCAAAGGTTTACTATTCAAGCATGCCAAGTGGGGTGGGTGCTGGATTAAGGGAGTAGGCATCCAGAGACTTAGCATTTAAATAGTAAATGGCTGAACATGCCTTATAGAGTACAAATTACAGAGTTCGCACTGGAAAATGCAGACAAGCTACCCACGGCCCTTTAAGGGATTCCAGGCATAAATAATCAACCATTACAGAGAATTTGTTTTAAAACACTCATATCTGTCCAGGACTATAATACCATATTCTCCAGAATTATGCAATTTCCCCCTCCCTGTATTTTCAAGCAAGCGTTTGGGATGTGACATATAATCTGCGGTAGGTATCTGCGTGTCGGATTTGTATAACTTTTACACCAGGTTCAAGTTTTGGGGGTCCATCTCACTTTTCAGAGTGTCTTAATAATCCAGAGAATAAAGCAATTTCATTTGTCGTTAAGAATTGAATACAAAATAGGCTGTGAATGTAAATCCAAGGCAAATTAATTAATCATCATTTAGTTTATTTATGATGCCTTAGCTGCCAACCACACTGCCAATAGTGTGGTGTGCCCTCTGCTTTTTCCATGTTAATTTATCTTTCATACAACATAGCTATGATCCTTGTTTCATGGAAACTTGTTTTAAATTGAGAGCATGAGTTGAGTATTTCCCCATAATATAGACATCTACTAGGATACTTTACACTTTGTAAATTAAAAGTAAAAAAAATATACAATTTATTTTGCTGCATTAACAGCTAGCACTCGTGCCTTCGTTGAGATTGCTTATCCATTACAAATACAGTACTGAATAAGAATCCAGTAGTTGGCACTAAAGTGTTAATTTCTAGGAAATTGAAGAGCACTTCAGGAATGTTTACTTAGCCCTGGGTTGTTCTACAAGCGAGATGTAGCCCAGTGCTGGCGGTGGAGCATGGCCAGGCCTAATGGCCTTCAGAACAAACACATGCCAGACCCAACTTTTAACAGGTCACTTGCTTCACAACGCTTGCTTGGATTTTCACAAAGAGCCCAGTATGCATGTTAAACAGGCCATTCTATCCATAAAATCACCAAAGACCTGATTATCATTAATCAGAATGGTTGTTTTAACAGCTGATTAATCGATAGCAAACAGCTGAGCTTGAAACGTGCATGTTCGCATACGTCCACACGCACAGCGCTTAAAGGCAGGCAGATCATATATGATCAAATATTCCCTTGACAGATGTGTTATACAGCATTCATCTGGATATTATTTTGAATTATCAGTACGTTATACAGAATATGTTCATCATCGGACATTGTCTACCCACTGCTAGTTGAATCCCCATCCCTCACAGTCCAGTGCTGCTGCCACCCATCTCACTCTAATGAACTAATCTTACTGCGCTATCTCCACGGTGGTCGTCCTCTTGGATGAGTTTCCTGCCGTCACAAATCTCATTCATTGGCCATCGCATTGTCTTGCAACGTGTTCTATCAAAGGCCATTTACTTTTCTTTATACTGTAGTTGATACGATTTGTGCTTGTTCCCCCCATCCCTGCGTTTCTTTTTCTGTCTCTCAGGATCGTTCAAAGGATGCAGCCACATTGGTCATGCCCCTTGTCCTTACAATTTTCAAATTCCAAAGGCACTCCGTCCTACTCTTTATTTAATTCTACTCCTGTTTCATTACTCGTTTTTGATTATCTGCTTAATATTAACATTGCGTCCCTTCATCGTTTTTATTTCCTAAGAAAATGTGTTGTAGATTACTGTACTTTTGTTTTGCTTAATTATCTTGAGTTCAACTTTGCAGCATTCTGTAAATAACCTTGGTGAGAGCACAGCTCCTTGTTCGATTCTTCGTTTTTATTTCGCAGCTCTCATTGTGCATTCTCAATGTACACACGTCCGTTCTTTATAAATGGTTATGATGTTCATTTTGTTATGGATTGGTTTGTGAGGAACTTGGATGACTGCTTCCATATTCAATAAATAAAATGCCTTTTCATAATCGATAAAAGTCAAGCATGGTGGTATTTGATTTAAAATTTCTCTCATTTGATCGATTACCCTGTATGTGGTCAACAGTAGAATATAATGTTCATTTAGTACTCAATTATTCCGAACAGATTCTGGCATAAAACATACGCCGAGCTAAATATATAGCAATAATGGACGACCAGCAATTGATAAAACTAATGAGTTAATTGTAGCCAAAGGAAGTAACATGTTTAGCGGCAGGAAAGATGATGACATGAAGTGCAAGTAGATTTACCATGAATAAAAGATGCTGATGCCAGTGACTTTGTCATACAGTAGTGAAACAGAATGGCTGATGACAATTACGATGTGTCCACTATTCCATGGAATATATTAAATAAGATTTTTTTTTTAATTCATTACACAGCCCTTTCATTTCGAAAATTAACACACTATTTAAATAAAACACTGGACCTGACTAAAGCACAGTACGAAAGTAAAAAAGAAACAGCATGTTGACACATTTCAACAAAAACAAGGATTGAAAAATGAGCTCATATTGTGTAAAAAGAACAGGCATGAAAACAAAGACATGCCAATACCCGCCATCTCAGACTCTGTGGAGACTGTCAGCCTGCTGCGGGACAGCTGTGGATTACACCAGTGACGCATGAATAAACCACCCCCAGTGAACAAAGAGGGCTTTGATATAATTTGTCACAGCTATTAACGGTGGCCTGGACTCGGTGCTGTGGACAAAGCTGGTAACGCACACTTTTCCAGCGATCATTGCGATTTATTGAACCATGGTGCGCGTCACTATAAATCAATGGGATTACCACAGTTTGTCCATAGTGCACTTATTTTCCATCATTGCTTATAATTTACAATTAATTTCATCTCACTAAGAATGGCCTTATACGGTGCTATTTTGCACCTGGGCTTTTGAATTAAATGTCATTATAACAGGGCAGAGTAATTGATCTGACTTCATACACCCGCACGATTGCTTCTGGGCACAAGCCATTACACTTTATAGCTTCTCTTTTCAAGCAAAGCCAGGTAATTGCTTCTCTGTGTAACCCTCCGCACTGTATGTATTGTGATCCCAGGTAATGAAAGCAAGAATTCACTTTTTACCCCATGAGACATCTATTTATTAGTGCCTAATAGAGCTAGAATCTATTAGAAGACAATAAATAACACTCCTATTGAATAGTAAATACAGTATGGTATTGAAAAAAACATTATTGTATATGTTTATACATTTTCTCTTAGTTATTCTAAATAGCATACGCAGTTCAATCTACATGTTAAGCACTAAAAAGGCAATGACTGTTCAACAACATGCAAGCTCACTATTCAACAGAGGATCTGCAACATTTTATATTGATCAATGTAAACTGCAAGTCAAATAAACAGCTGTCATAACTGGCCAAGTGGCTCAGTTGCAGAGTGAGCGACACGCAATCGGAAGGTTGCAAGTTAAAAACCTGGTTGGCGGTTGACTAAACCCATCATCCTTCCAGGGTCAACAAAATGAGTACTGCTTTGTGGGGGAAATCAACAATGGTTAACCAATGTGGAGATATGCACCTGCCATAGGAATGGGGATTTTACACAAATTGACTCAGGGCTGTAAAAAAGAGACAAGCACCTGC